TGTTATTCTTGTTTATCTTTTCAAAGAACCAGCTCTTGGAATTGTTGATTCTTTGTATTGTTTTATTTGTTTCAATTTCATTAATTTCTGCCCTGATTTTTGTTATTTCTTCTTGTCCGCTGGGTTTGGCATTCATTTACTGTTGCTTTTCAAGTGTCTTGAGTTGCAACGTTAAGTCATTTATTTGTGTTTTTTTCCAATTTTTTGATGTAGGCACTTAGAGCTATAAACTTCCCTCTAAGGACAGCTTTCAGTGTGTCCCAGCATGTGTTATGTTCAGTGTGTTATGTTGTATTGTCCTTTTGATTTAGTTCCAGGAATACTTTTATTTCTTTATTAATTTCTCCTTTGACCCATTCATCATTTAGGAGTGTGTTGTTTAATCTCCATGTGTTCATGTGGTGATTAGAGTTTCTTCTGGTGTTGACTGTAAGCTTTATTGCATTGTGGTCTGATAGAATGCATGGAATTATTTCAGTCTTTTTGTAGTTGTTGAGGTTTGTTTCTTCTCTTTAACATAAGTCGATTATGGAGAGGGTTCCATGGGGTGCTGAGAAAAAAATATGTCCTTTGGTGCTTGGGCGGAATACTCGGTACCTGTCCATTAAGTCCATTTGATATATGGTATTGTTTAATTCAGATGTCTCTCTGTCAACTCTCTGCCCTGTTGACCTCTCTATTGGAGACAGTGGGGTATTGAAGTCTATAGCCTAGCTATATACCAATAACAAACAATCAGAGAAAGAGCACATGGAAACACGCCCCTTCACAATAGCTGCAAAGAAAATAAAATATCTTGGAATAAACCTGACCAAAGAGTGCTCTCTTTAACAGGGCTCTACAATGAAAAGTTTAAATCTTTAAAGAAAGAGATGGGGAAGACATCAGAAGATGGAAGGACCTCCCATGCCCATGGATTGGAAGAATTAATATTATGAAAATGACCATCCGAACAAAAGTCATTTATAGATTCACTGCAATGCCAATCAAAATCACCATGACATTTTTCACAGAATTGGATAAAAAAACACCCTCAGATTCATTCGGAAGCACAAAAGACTTCACTAGCCAAAACAACCACGACCACTAAGAGCAATTCCAGGGGGATTCCTAAACCAGATTTTAAGCCGTATTATAGAGCTATAGTCATAAAAAACAACATGGTACTGGCACAAAAATAGACCCATAGACGAATGGAACAAAATCAAAGACCCAAATATGAATAAATACAATTTCAGCCACTTGATATTTGACAAAGGGGCCAAGAACATTAACTGGAGGAAAGACAGCATGTTCAGCAAATGGTGCTGGCAAAACTGAATCTCCACTTGTAGAAGAAGGAAACTAAACCCCTATCTTTCACCCTGCACAAAAGTCAATTCCAAATGGATCAAAGATCTCAATGTAAAGCCTGAAACTCTGAAACTATTAGAAGAAAACATCGGGAATAACCTACAAGACATAGGCATAGGAAAGGATTTTCTAACCTGGACATCAATTGCCCAGGAAACAAGGGCAGCAATTAACAAATGGGACCTCAATAAACTAAAAAACTTCTGTATATCAAAGGAGGCAACCAAGGAAGCAAACAGAAAACCCACAGAATGGGAGAAAATCTTCACCAGCGACACATCTGACAGAGCTTTAATAACCAGAATATATAACGAACTCAAAAAACAGAGAACCAAGACAAGAAGCAACCCAATTAAAAGATGGGCTAA